TGCCATATTCACACTAGCCTTTTTAATTTAAGTCTTCTGAACTAAGTATGACATTTCAATCCAATGATACACCTAACCATATCTGATCTATCTTCGCAGGATGAAGGGATGCAGGATGATATCCGTTCTCCCACACACCTGTTCTAAACAGGCCCGGATTGACTAATCGGGAGGACCGGGAGAATTCCCGGTGGGCCGGTCCGTTTTTTTTTTTTGGCCGCGAGGGCCGGTGTCCCTAGCTCCAGAATCTGTTGCTCTCAGCAGTGACACTTTTTTAATTCATTTACTTGACCACAGCCTTTTTATTCATTATAAAAAAAAAAAAAAATAAAAAAAATAAATAAATAATAAAAAAAAAAAAAAAAAAAAAAAAAAAAAAAGTGCCATTAGAAACTGATTTGGAAATATTTATTTACTTATTTTAATATAGTCAGTCGTGAACTGAGGTGGGCTGGTCTGAGGCTTGAAACTCCAGAGCTGAAAAGGTGTCCCACTCCGGCCCTGGTTCTAAACCTCTTAGCATTTTTACACCACAGAAGAGCAATAACACCTCGGGGAAGCCCAGCCGATCATCTCCAGCCAACTTCCACCATCATGCATTATTGGGTATGAAGTATGACTCTGTCATTTCCTTCCTATTTCCCTTCCTATTTAACATAGGAGCTCCTTCACTACCCTTCCCTGTTTTTCTAGCTTTAACTTTTTCTCTCCAAATTTAAACTATCCTATACTTCTATTCACTTTCATTCACCACAGCTCCGACCAATTCAGGGGTTGTCTTGAGTTTCAGTTGCTGCAACAGGAACGTTCTAAATGAGCTTGCATACACTTACAAATTTTCTAAATACCACTATCGTTGCACTCCCCGCACTAATACAGCAGTAAATGCTTCTGCGGGAGCACAAGTTGCCTCCATACTGGCCCACTACACCACTGCAGCCGCAGAAATGCTCCGCAGAGTTGCACACCCAAAGCACCACTGCTACCGCAGTGAACCTCTAGCATACGCCTTATTCACCTTCATCTTTACATATCACTAAAGGCAGTATTTAACGTCCCTGTGGGAGCACTCAAAACTTACTAATATCGACTGTTTAGGTGCTCCACTTAACTATACACCCCATTAACATCACGGCAACTGCAGTGACGCTCTAGCTGAGCCCCTTTATCACTTTCATCTCTAAATATCACTGCTAATAGTACTTAGTATTTCCGTGTGAGGCGCTAATACTGAGTACCACTGCACCTCTGCTACTGCAGAGACGCTTTGCTGAGCCTTATTCTCCCTCTGCACCACTGCTGCAACAGTTAAGCTTTGCCTGAGCTGCAACTGCAGAGACGGCTGTTTAGCCTTAATTCTCTGCACCATTGATTTTATTGCACTTCTGTAACTGCAGAGAAGCTCTGCTGAGATTATTTTTTCCCCTGCACCAATGCTGCAGCAGTGACGCCCTGCCTGAACAGTCTTCCAACAACAGATATAAACTCTGTCATTGGTCCTCTAACACCTCTAAATCCTCAATTTGCCTCAGCCAATATTTCCTCAGAGAAGCCCAGCTGATTCTCGGTTGCAGACTTCAACCTAGTTTCCAAGCAGCACGACTCTGTCTGTTCTTCCTACTTTCTGTCTTAGTTGCATAGGACTCATTTTTACTAAACTTTCCTTTTATTTTATTAAACTTCTCTTCCTCTTCATAATTTTTCAATTTCACTTGCACTCATTCTCCGCAGCTCGGACTCCCACAGGGGTAGCCCCAAGCTCCCACTGCCACAGCAGTGAAGCTCTTTAAGAGCTCACATGTACACTTTTCAAAAAAAAAAAAAAAAAATAAAAAATTTACCATTATCACACTTCGCCGCAATAATACAGCCGTAAAGGCGTAGCGGGAACTCGTATTGCTTCCATACTGACTACAATTACACCTCTACAGCAGCTCCACTTAATTACATTGCATTGTAGCATCAATTTATTTTCCATCACCACACTCCCCGCAACAATATAGCCATAAAGGCTTAGCGGGAACTCGTATTGCTTACATACTGACCACCATCACACCTTTACAGCAGCTCCACTCAATTACATTGCATTGTAGTATCAATTTATTTTCCATCACCACACTCCCCGCTATAATACAGCTGTAAAGGCTTAGCGGGAACATGTATTGCTTTCACACATATAATGCACCAGACTCTGAATACCTATGCACCCCTGCAGCCACAGAGTTGCTCTACTGTGCCCGATTCCTATCTGCTACACCGCTGTTAATCAGCTCTCCAAAGCGCACTTCCCTTTAGAAACTGACTTTCACCGCACCTCTGCAGCCGCAGAGACGCTCAGCCGAGCATCACTCCCCTCTACATCACTGCCGCAGTAGTGACGCTTAGCGAGCGCATATACACTTCCACTTAGCAATCCACTACTGATACACTCTCCAGCACTGCCAAAGCAGTTAAACGTCTCTGCGGAGGCGTATTTACCTTCCAGATACTGACTTCCATTGCACCTCTGCAGCAGCAGAGACGCTCAGCCGAGCATCATTTACATCCCCTGCACCACTGCTGCAGCAGTGACGCTCTGCTGGAGCTCATGCACACTTCCATCACACTTATACCACTTCTGTCACTCCCAGCACTGCTAAAGCAGTTAAAACGCTGCTGCAGAAGCGTATTCTTCCCCTTAGGACTGACTACCACCGCACCTCTGCAGTCGCAGAGACGCTCAGCCGAGCATCACTCCCCTCCACATCACTGCCGCAGCAGTGACGCTCAGCGAGCGCATATACACTTTCATTTAGCAACCCAATACTGATACACTCTCCAGCACTGCTAAAGCAGTTAAACGTCCCTGCGGAGGCGTATTTCCCTTACAAATACTGACTTCCATTGCACCTCTGCAGCAGCAGAGACGCTCAGCCGAGCATCATTTACATCCCCTGCACCACTGCTGCAGCAGTGACGCTCTGCTGGAGCTCATGCACACTTCCATTACACTTATACCACTTCTGTCACTCCCAGCACTGCTAAAGCAGTTAAAACGCTGCTGCAGAAGCGTATTCTTCCCCTTAGGACTGACTACCACCGCACCTCTGCAGTCGCAGAGACGCTCAGCCGAGCATCACTCCCCTCCACATCACTGCCGCAGCAGTGACGCTCAGCGAGCGCATATACACTTCATTTAGCAACCCAATACTGATACACTCTCCAGCACTGCTAAAGCAGTTAAACGTCCCTGCGGAGGCGTATTTCCCTTACAAATACTGACTTCCATTGCACCTCTGCAGCAGCAGAGACGCTCAGCCGAGCATCATTTACATCCCCTGCACCACTGCTGCAGCAGTGACGCTCTGCTGGAGCTCATGCACACTTCCATTACACTTATACCACTTCTGTCACTCCCAGCACTGCTAAAGCAGTTAAAACGCTGCTGCAGAAGCGTATTCTTCCCCTTAGTACTGACTACCATCGCACCTCTGCAGTCGCAGAGACGCTCAGCCGAGCTTCATCCCCCCTGCACCACTGCTGCAGCAGTGTCGCTCCACCGGAGCTCATGCACACCACTATTTATCCATACCATTACTGACACACTCCCCATTGGACTGCCAAAGCGGTTAATCAGTTAACCGCTTCTCATCTGCAGCTACAGCTCCGCAGAACCTTACAGCTTCATTTTCCATCACTACTATACTAAACCTTTACGAAATTCACCACATATGTTTTAAACCTTTACACTTACCCCACTCACTCTCCCGCTGGTCCTTACAATTAACAGGACCCGGGGGCACACATAGTCATACATAAGCACCTTCAGTTAATTTTTACACCCACACCAGTCTCTGTTGCTCCTCCAAGCTATTTCTGTATCACTTTTCAGCAGCCGGATATGGCATTAATCTCCTGTGCCTTTTGGGGGGTTCTTCAAATACGCGGCTGCTGTCCCGAGCGGAGCATTTTGGGGAGTTGTCGAGATCTACCTGAGCTCGAGGCTCCCCTCTCTTCCTCCAAACGGGAGGGAGCCCAGGGCTCAAGAACCTTCGAGCTCAGGGCTCTCTCCCGGGACAGCATGCCAAACTTGCTTATAATCAATCATCAGCTAAGTGTGAACTCTTGAAGTGAAGTTTATTCATAAACTAATTTCGAGAGGAGCACGTGATTATGATTGAACACGGCTGGTCATGCATTAGCATGCTTGATCCACCAATCAGGCCATTCCTAACCACTATAAAGAGCCAGGGTTTTCTCACTACAGTCATCTTCGATTTGAAGAATCCCCCCTTCCACCCCTACCTTTTCACCTTTCCCTCCATAGGGCAGCACGGTGGCTCAGTGACTAGCACTGTCGCCTCACAGCAAGAACGTCACCGGTTCTAGTTCCTTAACAGGCCGGTGGTCGTTTCTGTGTGTAGTTTGCATGTTCTTCCCGTGCTTGCGTGGGTTTTCCCCGGGTTCTCCGGTTTCCTCCCACATTTCAAAAACATGTACAACAAGTTAATCGTTAAATCTAAATTTCAATACAGGTAATCTAATAATGCAGCATATCTTTTAATAGCCTTCAATCTTAATCTTTAGCTATTATAAAAAGGGGAGTTGTCGAGATCTACCTGAGCTCGAGGCTCCCCTCTCTTCCTCCAAACGGGAGGGAGCCCAGGGCTCAAGAACCTTCGAGCTCAGGGCTCTCTCCCGGGACAGCATGCCAAACTTGCTTATAATCAATCATCAGCTAAGTGTGAACTCTTGAAATATCGTGATACATATCGAATCGTGAACGTTATATCGTGATACACATCGTATCGTGAGCTGAGTGTATCGTTCCACCCCTATTATTCACACTCATACACTACGGCTAATTTAGCCTACCCAATTCCCCTATAGCACATGTGTTTGAACTGAAACCCTAGTACCCGGAGGAAACCCACGCCAACACAGGGAGAACATGCCAACTCCACACAAAAACACCAACTGATCCAACCGAGACTCAAACCAACATAACAACAACATGAATAGGAATGTAATACTCACTTTATTATGATCACATAATACACAGACAGATATAAATAATAGTGTATATATACAGATTTAAATGTCTGTGAAACAACAAAACAGTTTCATGTGTGTAATATTAATCAGAAAATCATAGTTTTTTAACATTTCATTGGACTGAGTGTTGCTGTCACACCAGATCATCTTGGATCTACTCTGGTTTCTTCTGGGTTTTGCGGTGTTTCAACTCTGAGATTCTGCCTGCAGACCAGCACACACAGGAGAGGGTCTGAGATCAGCCTCAACCTCACAAACAAAGGACTATGAAAAAGATTATGTCTATCAAGATGCAATAATCTAAGTACAATAGGCGGATAAAACACCAGCAGATTGAATATGAAAATAACCAAAATGTGAGGGTCATGTTTCCTGGACGTGTGAGAGTGAGGATCAGCAGAGCAGGAAGGTCTACAGTATATTACCAGAATTATCCGATGTACTACAACCAACACGAGGAATGCAATAATACAAGACAACACAGTGATGTCAGTTTGAAAATAAACCCGACAGATAGTGATACAGAGGAAAGCAAGCATGAAGAAGAGTCTGAAGCAGCGTGAGGAGAAAACAGCAGCAGTGTACAGCGGATATCTGACTGAGAGAATCCCCTCTAGCGCCACCAGCTGATTCAAGAGGAGACCACAGTCTGTTGAAGACCACCATAAAGACTGAAAAACCAGACTTGTCAAATCTGTAGACATATAGAGCTCATTTAAGAGATCTTTGATCAGTATGTAGGGACTCAAGTAAAGCTCAGTAAAGTCAGTGAGGAGGAGGAGGATGATGAAGGCTGAAATATGGTGTCCATTCCTTCTGTGCTCAATCAGTTCACCGACAGACCAAACAAGAGCTGGTAGACCTGCAGACGCACCAATGATGCTGAAGATGAAGGATCTGATCTTAAAATCCAGCTCTTCAGGTATCAACTTCCATCTAAGTGGGTAATCCATTTGCCAGTATGTCTCTGTGTTGTCCATCTGTGAACACACGCGAGCACATGAGTGGGTGTAAAGTGTGAGCGCTGAATAAATGCTGAGCAGCTTTCAGAAGACACAAAGCTCATAACAGCAGCTAAAAGTCCAACAAGTCAGAATCATCCGGCTGAAAACATTCCTGCATTCTAGTCTGTGTTACATTCAGTTCATCTTTAATGACTTACAGTCAAACACTAACAACAGCTCTGTCTTACCTTGATATATTCAGGAGATTTCTACAGCGCTGTGTTCACGGCAGAACAACGTCCCCAATGATGACTGAGTTCTGCTCTGCTCCTGTGTCTCCTGCTCTGTTATCTGCTGCTGCTTTATCCGCTGGTTTAATCTCAGTGGTTTTACTGAGAAGTGTGTTTAAACTGTTCTCAAATCACATCAGATGTGTGTTCTGTTAATAAGTAATGATGAAGATGTGTGCTAAACTTGACATTTCAGTTGCTTTCTATTTGCAGGTGTTTCATAATTTGAGCTCTCTTAGACATCATACTAAATAGTTTTCAGACCTTTTTATTTAGATTTTTTTTGCAGTGAATCAAATATTAAACCATATAAACATCCAAAAATAATCATCTAACATAAAATAAAGGATATTTTAATGATACAGATATTAATCATCGCCTTCAGCAAGCAAAAATGCACATTCACACATATAAAAAACAATCAAGAAGTAGAAAAAAAGCTTGCAACACTTGAGCCATGATTATATCAGTGGTTTCCAGTGTGTTTTTATACTTTAATTCGATGCATTAACATCATTTTAATCTCATTTTACTATATTTTATTTATTGGTGTCTATTAAAGTCTCTGTAGGCCAGGGCCGGAGTGGTACTCATTTTCAGCCCTGGAGTTTCAAGCCAGACCGGCCCACCTCAGTTCACGACTGATTCCAATTCAGTTACTAATGGCACTATCACGTCTTTTTCAAGAAAACTGCTGCTTTAGAAATTCAAATGTTCAACAGCCCTAACAGTATTTTATGTCTTAACAATAAAATCGAAAAAAAACCCTGATTTTTCATGGGAGATTCGATCACAGGTCTGTGACATTGATATGCAATGTGCTTACCACTGGACCACATTGGCGCTATTACATTGAGAGTAAAAAATGACTAATGACTTGCGACCCTTAAGACACAGCACTACTTTCTTTTGATGGCTCAATCTTTGTCTCCTATTTTTAGATTTCTGATCAAGTTATGTCAGATTTATTAATGAAGTGAATCATTTGATTTTCATTGAGCAGGTGTTTTATTCATTTTATTCGAATTCTTCTTAATGAAGTGTTATATGTTGATTTCGCTTGTGTTGCAACATATCTCACTCACTGATTTTAATCAGACATCAGCTTTACTCACATCTGCAGCTTATCTAAATGTTTTCCTCAGCAAAACGGAAAAGTCTGATATGATGAATTACGTGTTTTTCTTACATGAACACATCATCTTACCTTCAAACCTTTTCAAAAGGCACACATTTATATCTACAGGCTCATATTGGTCACTTAAAAGAAAATAACCTAAAGTGTATTTACAGAAGTGTACAGCCTCTGCACCTTTATTTCTGAAAATTCAACCAAAAGTAGATCAAAAACCCTATTACAGCTAGAATAAAAGACATTTTTAGTTTTTTAGGGTGCTTTCACACCTGCCTTATTTAGTTCGATTGATTCGCACTGGAGTTTGTTTCCCCTTTTGGTGCGGTTGGTTTGGGCAGGTGTGAATGCAGCAATCGTACTCGAGTGCGCACCAAAAGCGGACCAAATAAGAGTACCGAGACCTGCTTGAAGAGGTGCTCTCGGTACGCTTTCAAACGAACCCTGGAGCGGTTCGTTTGTGGTGAGAATATGATCCGTACTAAAACAGGTCCAACCGCAAACAGTACTGTACCTTTTGGACTAATCCAGCTGCCGTAGGCCGATGCGCTGTGCATTATGGGATATGGAGGAAAAATATTTGTTGACATGCTTTACCAACAGCGAGAGAGAGAGAGAGAGAGAGAGAGAGGGGGGGGGGGGTAAACATCACCTGATGGATTGTTGGTAATATTTCCACAAGATGAGCATGTCGCAGTTTAGCTGAATTAATTCACGCCTCCTCCTGAAGTGACGAGCGACACAATAAACACTGTTTTCCAGCCGCGGCCGCGCTTCATTCTGGAAATGTATCTGCTTTAGACAAACTGTACAATCAGCAGCGCAGTCGCCCCTCCAGAGTAAACCACATGTTGTGTCTGCCGGTTTTGTTTACTTGCGGGAGTTCATTGGCATTTTCCCGCACATGAATTCTGACCAATCAATAAGCAGTTTAGGAAATATATTCAACAACATCTGGCCAATGAGAGATGTGGGTTTTGTCACATGACTGCATTTTGGTTCATTTCAACTGGTTCGGACCAAATCCAGCAGTGTGGTGTAAAAACGACCCAAAGACGGCAGAAAATGCAACAATGATCATTTATTACCCTTGATCCAGACCAAATGAAGCGAACTACACATGTGAAAGCACACTTAAACACCATTTTAAGGACAAGTTATGAAGCTAATTATAAACCCATTTAAGCCATATATATATTTCCGATAGTCTCCAGAACAAACCATCATCATACAATAACTTGCCTAATTACCCTAACCTGCCTAGTTACCCTAATTACCCTAGTGAAGCCTTTAAATGTGACTTTAAGCTGTATAGAAGTGTCTTGAAGAATATCTAGTCTAATATTATTTACTGTCATCATGACAGAGAAAATAAATCAGTTATTAGAGGTGAGTTATTAACACTGTTATGATTAGAAATGTGCTGGAGAAATCTGCTCTCTGATAAACAGAAATTGGGGATTAATAATAAACAGGGGGGCTGATAACTCTGACTTCACTGATCTGATGTTTAGACTCTGAGATTCTGCCTGCAGACCAGCACACACAGCAGAGGGTCTGAGATCAGCCTCACACTCATCAGGGCCCCTGAAGAATTCAAAACAATTTTGAGCACATCTGAATATAAAAAGTTCCCATCTAAGACAAACACAGTCAGATACACATAAAGCACCAGCAGAGTGATGATCAAAATCACCACAATATGAGGATCTGCTTTCCTGGATGTGTGAGAGCGACGCTCAGCTGAACATAAAGCTCCACACGAGATTATCCACGTGATCACAGACAAGATGAACGCAGGAACAGGAAATACATAGACATATGTTCTGAACATCATTGAATAAAACCAATAAAATCCACAGATGATGATACAGAGAAGCGCAAGTGTGTAGAAGAGTCTGAACCAGCGTGAGGAGAAAACAGCAGCAGTGTACAGCGGATATCTGACTGAGAGAATCCCCTCTAGCGCCACCAGCTGATTCAGGAGGACACCGCAGACTCTTGAAGACCACCATAAAGACCGAAAAAAAAACAAGACCTATCCATACACCATGGGTACTCATTAAAGAGATCTTTGATCAGTATGCAGGGACTCAAGAAAAGCTCAGTGAAGTCAGTGAGGAGGAGGAGGATGATGAAGACTGAAATACGGTGTCCATTCCTTATGTGCTCAATCAGTTCACCGACAGCCCAAACAAGAGCTGGTAGACCTGCAGACGCACCGATGATCATGAAGATGGAGGATCTGATTGAAAACTCCAGCTCTTCAGGAGTAATCTTCAATTGAAATGGATCATTTGTATACCCATAGTCTGTGTTGTTCATCTGTGAACACACACGAGCGCATGAGTGAGTGTAAAGTGTGAGCGCTGAATAAATGCTGAGCAGCTTTCAGAAGACACAAAGCTCATAACAGCAGCTAAAAGTCCAACAAGTCAGAATCATCCGGCTGAAAACATTCCTGCATTCTAGTCTGTGTTACATTCAGTTCATCTTTAATGACTTACAGTCAAACACTAACAACAGCTCTGTCTTACCTTGATATATTCAGGAGATTTCTACAGCGCTGTGTTCACGGCAGAACAACGTCCCCAATGATGACTGAGTTCTGCTCTGCTCCTGTGTCTTCTGCTCTGTTATCTGCTGCTGCTTTATCCGCTGGTTTAATCTCGTCTCTGACTGTGGTTTTACTGAGAAACTTTAGGAATATATTAAACACTCGAGTTTATAACACAAAGGTGTTTTTATTTTTGTACATTACATGCAAATGATATTTTTATGAGCCTCTAATACCCTGTTAACTTCTGACATAGTCATTAAACTAATAAAAACAATATAAAACAATTGTATTTTATATAATATAAAAATCCTTGCATGCATTGCAACACATCTCGCGTGTTAATGTTATCAGTCATCAGCTTCACATCTGCAGCTTATCTAAATGTTTTCCCCAGTAAAGCGTCGAGTCTGAATTTCGTGCATTTAATTTTCCTGCTTCTCTTACATGCACACGGAGAAGTAAACATGTAAAAGTGTTCACGGTCAACACATTTATATCCATTTGTTCATACTGAGAACATAAATCTACATATTAGTATCTAAAGTGCACCTTACAGAAGTGCACGTGTACAGCTTTGGCCCTTTTAAGTTCACTGAAAGTAACTAAAGAAGTGTTTATTTGTATATAAAACTTGATCTGAAGTACTGTAGCGACAGGGAGTGACACCAACAACAGAAGTTTGGATCCACGTGCAGGTTTATTAGAATTGTCAGGCAAGCAGTGGTCGATACCGGCAAACAGGTAAGGATGGCTGACGTGAAACTGACGTTTCGACACAGTGTCGAGATCCCGAAGCGCAAGTGTTTCGAAACACTGCACCGAAGCATGATCCGAAACACCCAGGTCACGTGACTAAAGTGTTTCGAAACACTTGGTCACGTGACTAAAGCGATTCAAAGCATTGATCATTTCAGAGGCGTTTCAAGACCCGCAGAATCTGCATTTGACTGTCATGATCAAATTGTCAACTGTGTCTTGTATGGCTTAGTGGACCGTGCATGCGCACTACAGTACTGTGTTTCAAATTTGTTTTGGGTTCGAATCCCGACTAGTCCAAATACTCCAAAATCATGATTTTATGTATTTTAACCATGTTACTGTTTTATGGTGTAGTCTAGATAGGATACAGCTGCGGATATGCCATCAATTTAGCATCATTTTTGTAACACTGTAAAACAATAATTCATATTTTTACAGTACTGTGATGGGTTTAGGCTTTGGATAGACGTTAATAAAATACAATGGGAAATTTAATTAATAATATAAGTAATTATTGTTAACTTCTGGCCACAACTTCTGATCTAGCAACAACCCTGTTTTATGAACAAAACAATACAAATTTATTTACAAGGTGTTTATTCGTATGTCAGAGCAATGTTGAAACAAAACGACACAATAACAAAGCATTACCAACTGGTGTTAAAGCATTTCAAAATAACTGTTTCAGTCTGGATTCGAACCCATTATTCCCACATGGCGGTCATGAACTCTAACCGCTAAACTAAACCATTTGCCGATTCAAGGCTACAAAGTGGGATTTCATACCCTAATTTGCTCAACTGTTCTTTGCTAAAGCTGTTTCAGTGAAATACAAATAAAATGACCACTAGGTGTCACCATAGAGTGGTGTTTCGAAACGTTTCAAAGCTTCGACATATTTGCTTCGATAGTTTCAGTGTTTCACGAAGCCTCGCTTTGCCCACCACTACAAACAGATGTATGAGGGCAATCCAGAGTCAAAGTCAAAACAACAGGCAGTTAGTCAGAGGCAGGCAGCAAACAGCATTAAATAAATAAACAAGGCAAAGAATCAAAAACATGGCAAAGGCAGACAAAGAAACCACATTGTAATGTCACTGTGACAGATAACAAGACTCGGCCAACTGAAGGAGTGAATGTGTGGCTTAAATAATGTGTGTTAATCAGTCTCTGAAAGTCCTCAGGTGTGAATGTAAATCAAGCTAAGTGAAATTTATTCATAAACTAATTTCGAGAGGAGCACGTGATTATGATTGAACACGGCTGGTTCTGCATTAGCATGCTTGATCCACCAATCAGGCCATTCCTAACCACTATAAAGAGCCAGGGTTTTCTCACTACAGTCATCTTCGATTTGAAGAATCCCCCCTTCCACCCCTACCTTTTCACCTTTCCCTCCATAGGGCGGCACGGTGGCTCAGTGACTAGCACTGTCGCCTCACAGCAAGAACGTCACTGGTTCTAGTTCCTTAACAGGCCGGTGGTCGTTTCTGTGTGTAGTTTGCATGTTCT